TGTGTTTTTACTAAATAGCAATTACATTGCAGAAAGAAATTCTTGTATTTCCCACTCGGATTTGTTTCTACTCAACCATTCACCTCCAAATTCTTCACTGACCAACTGTCTCCAAAAGAGAAAAAAATAGCCTTCTCTTAAAATAGCCTCCTCTTAAAATAGCCTCTCTCTCCTTTTTCCTGGACAGTTCTTTCCCCTTCTGTCTGAAGGCCTCAACAGTGATGTTGCAGCAATCTGTATTCCGAGATAAAGCTCTTCCTTCTACTTCCAGTAACCGAGTAAATTAATATACAAACTTTAAAAACTTGCTAAGAATTTACAAACTTTATTATCTTCTACAAAACAAAACAAAAACTGGTTTTCACCACTGATGGCAGGTTACAAACCCCAAGGCAATTACGGGGATGAAGCCAAAATTCCTGTTTAAAGTTGTTGCAAAGAACAGGTTTACTGAGGTGTTAGCATTTTTCTTCTTTTTTCTTTTAAAACAGCAGCTCAATTAGAACTGGTAACAATTGCAGAACAAGGTACTGACAATGGTAACAAAGTCAAACCTTAATACTGAGGAAAAAAGGATGCTTACCTTCCCAAAGTCTTTGATATGATATATTTCTCTCTCAGTTCTCTAGGAAACGTCATCTGATCATCCACCGTAAGATCAGTAAATACAAACACTGGGAAGACAAGTGGAGATCATTTTTCTGTTGTTAATTTTAAAATTTTGTTGTAAGAAACAAAGCTATTTTCCCGAGCTTTTATAGTCAACAACAATGACTGAAAAAATGCCTGCTTGAGGAAAAACTAAACATGTGCTATAAATTACATCAGCTATGGGGTAGCAACGTGATCTTATTACTGAAAAATGACATTTTGGTATTACATTCGTAACAATCCTTAACCAATTAACACCACACTTAGATAAAATGGGCAAAAATTTCAATGTCCCAGCAGGGATCAAAGAGAATTAACAATCAAGAAGACAGCATCTTAGTGGAAAAGCAAAGACAAAAAACCAAATGCCCAGGTCTGCTAATTTTTAAGATGATTTTCTATTTGTTATGCAGCATCCCGTTAGGTATCTGGGGGGATTTTGAACTTCTCTTCAATAGTCTGTCTCCCCTGTTCCCACCATCACATGCATAGCTACTGAAGCCCAAAAGCATTTTTAAAATAGGAAAGCAACTACAGAAGTTTATACTCTAGTAAGGTGGTATCTGATGCAGATTCCTCTCGGCTTTCTTTTTTAGTTTTTTCCTAGGGTTGATGTGGATATGGATAATTTTTATGCAAGTACTAAAACATCTATTCATAGCTGTGTTTTAACAGTCCTCATGAAGCAGCTCAGCTCCCAAGAAACACACTCAAATCAACACAGAAACAACCTCCTGGTCAACATGTGAAGAACCTACTCAAGTAAAAGTACATTTTACCCTTATTGGTCTGTAGAGACAGTGCAATTTCAGAGTTGTGAATCAGTGGAAGCCTCTTCCCTTTTCCAACAAGCTCTTTATTCACAAATGTTCCATTTGCACTATGGTCTTCAATGTAGGCAACATAGGAATTTTTTGGACCCATTTCCTCAAAGAGAAAAAAAATAATAAAGATGAAAGTAAAGAAGAAATGACTTCACAGTAAAGACATGACAGACTAGAAATTTACTATTGTTGGCTCAAGAAATGAGACTACTGAGGTTATTTCATAAACCAGGTGAGTGGGGCATTGCCAAGAGTAGTGTTAAAGGAGTCAACACTGAAGATGCTTTGATATCTTTAGGATTCCTGCTCCAAAGTCACTTGTTGAATTATGCCAAGACAGAGAGTCAGTTAACCTTTTCAGCACTTACCCTGAAAATTCGGAAGTGCTTCTTGCTGTAGTTTTCGTAGAAGCCAGTCTCATACAGTCCTAGCTTAGAAAAACTGTAATCACAGCTTTTGTCTCTCCCAAACCAGTATTCCTCATTCACACAGTCTGCAGAGGAGGGGAAGGTACAGCAGAGAGAGAACACAACATTGCAGGAAGTTAATAACTATGGCACTACAGAATGATGCCAGATGGTAGAGTAGGATACCAGAGAAAAGGTTCTTCCCCTACAATCAAGTTTATTTGTCTTAATTCAGACAAAGCAGTATTGACACCTTGTAAAATTCCTTAATAATTTTACCCTCTTTATGCTCTTAATAATTTTGCCCTCCTTAGCAGTAGTAGTTTTCAGTTCACCTTCAGCAATATAGACCCATATGATAATAAAATAAGTTATAAAATGGAAAAATGAAGCATGTAACAACAAACATGAACACCCTATAATTTCTCTAAGTCTGTGGAATCCGTGTATCCGAATACTCAGTATAAACACTGGGATGTACAGAACAAAACATTATTGCAAAAGTTGCATACTTAAATTTGCTTGTACTTAATTTAAAAATGAGAAGACACTGCTCTCTAGCAAGATGCTCAGAACTTTTCTGAGGTCCTACAAACAAACCAAGAGGTTTGTTACAGTATGCACATACCACAGTTGCTGAAACCTTTTGCAAGTGCAAAGAGTCGACCCCACGGCTGAGGATCCAGCTCTTCAGGTTCCTCAGGGATGGACGGAAGCTCCTGAGTCGGAACGGTGTCCAAAGAACTGAGGGTCCCAGAACTTGAGGAAGACTGACTAGTACTCTGTGACCCACTGGAAGAGGAACTCTGTGACGACTGGGCACCTTGAGTCTGCTGTACTTCACTTTCAGTCTCTCGGGACATGTTGGCTTCAAAGAGGATGTTAAAAATAACAGTTACTACAGCAAAGTAAAAGTGGCAAGCACTCACACTCAAGTCCATTCGCAGGCTTCAAAGTAAAACTTCCAACCAAAGAGTGCATGTGTGGGTTATACGTAAATCCCCAGGAATTTTGCAAACTAGGATGGTTTTCTTTCTAAAAGGGAATGTGGGGCGGCCTCTGCTGGTTCTAAAACAGAAATAACCCTCATTCCCAGATTGCTCCTGAGGACTTCAGGGCTCGCACTGGGTCACACAGGCAGGGGCTGCGCTACGACAGAGCATGCCCGCATGGAGCAGGGATCACGGCCGGTCCCCAGACACAAAGGGAAAAATAAGAACTATGATGTATATAAGAAAATGACGTACATTTTCTTGAAGGCGCCCAACAGATTTGTCACACCTACACACAATGAAAGTACAAAAGCTTGACAGACACCCACCACAGCCCCTGGCAGCTGCTGGCGGCAAGAAATGGCAATCGCCTCCCTGCCCCGTTACAGCTCGGGAATTCACAGCGCGTCTTTCCTCCCTCCCCACTCAACAAACGCTCCACCAGCCAGCCCAGCCCTACAGCCGGCGTCCTCAAACACATCCGCGTTCACCGGGGCTGCTGGAACGTCCATGAGCCTTCCAGCCTCTGGGATCGCTGGCACTCATCCCTCTGCTTCCTTTCTTGGCTCACCATCTGTGTTACTGGGTTTTTAGCTGGTTGCCATACCGTTCGATGTATAATGCAGGCTAATTTAAATCTCCTTATCGATTTGCTACATTTCATTACGAGCCAAAAAAACCCACAACAGCTCCTAAGTTACTTCCCACGTCCCGTTTTCCACACGTGCTCACAGGCACAGGCGAGGCCCTCGGGCTCGGACCGCGGCCCTTTGCAGCGGTGCTGGCGCGGCCACCGCGGAGGGAGCAGAGCCATGGAATCGTTTGGGTTGGAAAAGAGAGAGGCCATCGACTCCAAGCGCTCATCCCCAGCACTGCCAAGGCCACCACTGACCCCGTCCCCAGGTGCCACATCCACACGGCTGTTAAAAGCCCTCCAGGGATGGTGACTTCACCCGTGCCCTGGGCAGCCTGTGCCAAGGCTGGGCAGCCCTTCCCACGAGGGAATTTTCCCTCATATCGAACCTACACCTCCTTCTGAACAGCTCCCGGACGCTCGGACGGCGGAGCCG